ATGAATGAACGATGAATAACACACGATGTCTCAGATCAGTTGATATGATGGAAAATGGAAAGAAGAGCTACTAAATGGAACTTTGCAACTACTGTTTCCAATGTAAAGAATAAACCTCAATGTTTGAGCCAACGTGGACGAGAGGTTCGTAAAGTTCCCGGAGCACCACAGATGAGTTAGTTCAACTCAAACTGTTTGAGGAAACCAATTAAACCAACAACAATTTAAGGAAAGATATTTGATTTGAGTTAAAGTAACTCAAATATTTATTGTTATGGTAAGTTTGGTAAATTGTACAAATTTCATTCAGTTAATTGAAGTTGCAGCTTTTCTCCAAATGTAAATAAAATGTGAGAACAGAATTTATCTGAATAAAGTCATTTAACTTAACAAATGTTACAACTGATTTTAAATTTACTGTTTTCTTCCATTAAAGCAAATTATACAATTCATAATTCATTGATTATCAGCCAGTTCACTGTTTTTGTTTTTATGTGACAAACATAAAATCATTACACTTTGGGGATCATGAAGAATTATTTGGATGCTAAACTAATGGCTGCCAGGGAGGAAGATCAATTCAAACACTGATGGGTGATTTTGGAAATTGATATGCAGATATTTGGGATCAGTAAAGATCGCTATAACGATTCAAACACCCACCACTTCTCACTGATCAAAGGTCATCATGTTTGTTTGCTACCAAATAGTTTGAGTCTGACACACAGCGACACTGCCAGGAACCACTGGGGAATTTTGGACGAGAGACATAAAGAAATAGAGAGAGAGAATACAGACGCACACAGATCTTTGACTCAGTCATTATTCCAGCAGTGAGAGTGTTGGAGGTCTTTATTCACACAGTTTGTTCCACAGATGAAGAGTCATATGTGTTTGATATCTGTGTGTGTGTGTGTTGGAAGCTGCCCTGAATCACCTCAGATGCTTTGAGGTGTCATAAGTCTGAGTCTGGAAAATGTCCGGTTACTTTAAAACACACACGAGGATGTTGGCAAATAAAACCAGAGCTCCTCTTTGTGTGCTGTGTAAAAAGTTACCTGAAGGTCTGACCAAGCAGCCTTTTCCTTTTTCCATCTTTTTGGTGGTTGTTACAGTTAGAAGACCCCAGATGAAGTGGACAACAATTATTCTTATTTCAGATTTTACAATGTTTTATCACTTTTATGAAAGGTCAGAAAAAGTAGTTGAGGATATGAGGGAGTTTGAGGTCACTATTTGTGAAAGCAAACACACACTCATCTCTGGCAGTATCCGTCTCTCCCAGTACCACCATTATGCCCAGTTCACACAGAAGGCAGGTTTATTCCTGAACTGAACCGGTTTAAGAACATGAGCTAGTTTGGTGAAAAACTCCTTCTTCTTTTCCTTCCCAGCTGTTCTGGTTTGGAGCCACGATTGCAGTGTTTTCGCACCATTCATCTGACCTCTGCCCACTATCCTAACATCACATTTTAGCTGCTAACCAACCATAAATGCACGATCGCAGCATTAACGAACGTGACCACGTAAGCAGGCTGATATTGAAACAAACTACTAGAGACTTTATTCTCACTGGAACAGTCGTAGAGAAACTTAGAAATTATTTAAGCAATTTTCAGTTTTTCCTGCAGTTTCATTGTCAAATAAGTGACTATAAACATCAATAGACATTTGAGTTTCAGTTTGGAGCCACGATTGCAGTTTTTTTTTTTAACCATTCACATAATGAACGTAACAATCCCTGTGAAATCCACATTTTGTCCAGTCACTGCAACCTTTCAGCAGATTTGACCAATCATAGTGGTCTCCCGCACAAAGTGTTGAGCCAAAAGTTTGAGAACTTTCTCCATTCGCCATCAATTTTCAGAACTGCAGATATTTGCAGTCACAGTTGATTTTTACATTCAGATATTGTCAAAAGTTAATTTTGTGTCATCAATCATCAATCATTGACTGTACAGTTGAAACACTAAAGACTCTTTGACATCGAGTATTAACAGCCACTGTGTCTCTCTCCCCCCTTTCCTGTCTATCTTCACCTGTCCTATCGAAATAAAGGCATCAAAAGCTCCTGATCAGATTTAAATCCTCTCTCCTTCTAACCTTTATTTTTTCTTTTCTTCCATCCTTCCTCCTCTTTTGCTGTTCCTCCTTCTTTCCTTCTTGCAGATGATATTTTACTACCTCTGTTCATTTTATGAGAGAACTGCGTTAAAGTAGCATCTGTCCATCACACACACACACACACACACACACACACACACACACTGACTTACATTCATTTCCTGGAGACTAACCCCAACCTGAACCAATGACCCCGAAATCAGCTTTTTTCTAATCGGGGTACACGGCTTTTGTCCCCAATTAACTGGTCTTTAGTCTGAAATGTGCCCCCGTATGTCAGACCACACAAATAGACTGTGTATGTGTGTGCAGCAGGGCAGTAAATTAGTCCACACCTCCACCGAGTGTTTCATAAAGCTGCAGAGAGAGAGAAGAAGAAGAAGACATCAGTGACCTCTGAGAGTGTAAGAAAACAAAGAAGGTTTGGGAAGAAGGACGAAGAAGGGAACTGGTGACCTAAAGAGGGAAAAAAAGATGGCTGCACAGTGAAGAAGAACAGATGAGAATAAAGAAAGCTGATGAATGGAGGGAGAAAAGAGGCGAAGGAAGGTGGCGGCGTGTGAAGGTACTTTGAGGTCACAGAGGGGGAGATTACAGCTTGTGTCCACTAGATGGAGCACTTCAATCTGCATTGTGACAGACCTGAACACTGCAGCCACAGTCAGTGTTTACCTGCTCACCACACCTGACCGAGCAGCTCTGAAACTGTAGTTTAAACACAGTTTTATGTCACAGAGGAGAAGCAGCACACAATAAATCCATGAAGACATTTTGTTTAAATAAAGACCTTCTACAGTCTGATTCTCCCACAATGACTCAAATCAGGCTTTTTTATTAAGGTGGTGTTTTGTTCGATAAATTTCCATCTTCAGCTTTAAAGCTTCAGCAGCTTCAAGTAAAAGCAGAAAATAATTTTGCTGCAACTTTTCTTTGAAGCTTTATGCTCTATGATATGAAATATTTTGCACCATTCAGCCTTTGGAAACTAAAACTTTAAATAAAGTTCTGTGGTTTTGAACGACACAAGGCCATAATGATGGACCTGGCCTGCAGGGTTGAAGAGGTTCATTTAAACCTCCCTGTACTTATCCAGAGCTCCTGAATGTATTTTGGATGCAGGTTTTTCAGCCCCGGAGGCGACTTTAAAAACAAAGTGCATCGGAGCCGCCGCCGGTGTTACGACAGGTTCATGACTCACAGGTCGAGAGTTATTTAAAGAAACCACCAGTGCAGACAAGTTAATTTCCATCATACACACATGCAACGCCTTAATAAGGCGACTCAGTGAGCGGTGACCTCACACACACACACACACACACACACACAGTGATGATGTCATAACAGCGGAGGGAGAATCCCAGACATCCCAACGTCAGCGAGTAACTCTGCGTCTTCTCCGCTTCCTCTACAGTCAGATCTGACTCTGTTCTCCGGGTTCTCTAACGAACCACATGTGAGAGAGAGCGAGGGGGCAAGAGACAGTATGATGTAACAAGAGAAAGAGAGAGAGAGAGAGTGGATGAGTCGTAAACAAAACCAAGAACTAAACCTACACTCAAATTTAATTAATACATTTTTAGTATCAAAACAGTTCCCCCTTGAAAACCCCTAAAAACATTTTAAATACTTTCCATTAAATCACCTAAAATCACAGTCCCTTTACATTAGGAACCCTTTAGAAATGTCTTCAAATCTGTTAGATCTCCTTAAAAACCCATTACATGTTCTTAAAAACCTACGCAGATGTTCCCATTTAGAAGCCCCTAGAACCCACCAACACATTATTAGATCCCCAGAAGCCCCTCTGCGGGTGTTTTAGCATCTCTTTAGATCGTGTTTGAGAACTCTGTAAAACCTGTTCAGGATCCTAACAGAAGAACCCGAGAAGAACCTTTTGGACACTATTTTCCCTTTTCAAGAACTCTTACAACCTGTTTAATCCCTTCATACATTTCCTGTCCACCCGTTTGAATTCAGTCCTTTCCAAAGTTAGAAAATGCTTTAGGGTTGAGACTTTCAGGCCTGTAAGAACCGCTCAGACCAGATTCAACCACCAAATTACCGGCTCCGTTTTAAGTCCTTGGAACCTCTGCGCGATCTAGCAAACCAGCCGTTTCTGCTAGTTTCGAACGATTGCAACCAAGGATGCAACCTGTAGAATATGACACGGCCACTTTGGTTCCCAAGGAAAATCTGCTTTTTGAAAACATTCCAGCTGGGAACCATTTTTTCAGGAACAGAGCCAGTTCCCTGTTGGTGCTAAAGGACTAACCTGGACTTGAACCAGCTGTTCTCTGGTTCCCTCGCCAAAGTCTCTACGGACTGAGCTACTGGTTCTCCACTGAGAGAAGTTGTGGTTGTGGACATGGAACATGTTTCATTACAGATATAAAATCCAAAAAACATGTGAATGGTGCAGGAGTCCCTCGCTCATACCAAACTCCGCCACCGCCACCGTCGCTGCGCCTGCCACAACGCGAGAAGGCGAGACCGCACAGTCATGAACCATGATGTCATGTTGACTGGAGCTGAACAGCAACCAGACTAAACAAACTCAGACTGCCAGACTGACTGACTGATAGACAGTCAGACAGATGGACGGGAGAGTCACAGGCGAAATCCAAGTCATCCAGTTTTCCCCTCAACACGTAACTCATTCACAGCCGACCGTGGGAGGGGGGGAGGGAGGGAGGGATAAAGGAATCCCAGCCCTGCTCTGTCGAACAGAGGGAGGGGAGAAATAAATAAAAAAAGAGAAGAAGGGGGGGAGAAGGATGACTTGGATGAGTCACGGAGCGAGATGGGAGGAGCTGGAGTGGAGGAGAGAGAGAGAGGGATGGAGGGAGGGAGGGAGGTATAATTATGGTAGGAGGCTGCCAGAGTGAGAGAGAGAGAGAGGGGAGAGCAGCAGAGGGAGGGAAAGAAAGAAGAGAGAGTGAGTCCAGCCCACTCCGGTAAAACCATTCAACTGGTGAACGCATTCAACACAGAGAGAGAGAGAGAGAGAGCGAGAGAGGACGAGAGGTAAAAAGAAAGAGAGAGAGGAACTCCCTTCGTCTGGGATAACTTAACTCTCTCACTCACTCACACACACTCTGAACACACACTCTGCAGCGACTTCACCCCGGGAACGAGGATCCTCCGGCGCTCCAGAGTTTTTCCTTCTTCATCCATTCATCACATCTGAGAGTTTCTTCTTCTTCTTCTTCTTCTTCTCGTCTTGTTGTTTTTTTTCTTTTTCTTTCTTTCTTGTGACGCCTCCACATTTTCCAGCCATCTGTCCCTGACAAAAAAGATAAGGATTACTCATTTTCTCTCTCGGCGTTGTTGTGTTTTTGTTTTTTTTTTCTTTTTTGTCCTCCTCTCTCTCTTGTTTCTTTACAGCTTTTTTTCCCCCTCCGTTTTTTTCGCAGGTGGACTGTGAGCTGAGCTGAACTTTGCAGCTTCCAAACTTCTGAGGAGACAAAGACATTAAGAGAGAGAGAAAGAGAGAGAGAGAGAGAGAGAGAGAGAGAGAAGGGCTGTGGAAGGAAGGAACACGAGGAAGACTTTTCTTTCTTCATCCAGGACTGAATTTTTCCTCAAACACTTTTAACTCTTCGTCTCCTTTTGGCTCCGTCTGTGCATCTGCATCCGACAGCATCACCAAATCCAAGCCCTGGCGGCCAATCAGATGACTCCTGCCATCATGTCCGTCTTGCCTCTGCTCAGCTGGACCGTCCTGCTCCTGGTCCAGATCTGCGGCTCGTCCTCGGACCCGGCGTCTGACCTCCAGCCGCTGTCCCTGACCGTCCATCCCCACCACCAGCCACTGCCGGACGCCGCCTCCAGCAGCTCCCACTGCCCCTCCTGCGCCTTGGCCAGGATGAGGAGGAACGAAGGGGGCCCGGCGGCGGACGACATGGACGACCAAGAAGAAGTGGCGGCGGCGGCTCAGCAGGACGTGGTGGAGGCGGTGAAGAGGCACATCCTCAACATGCTGCACCTCCAAGCCCGGCCCAACATCACCCGGCCCGTGCCGCGTGCCGCACTCCTCAACGCCCTGCGCAAGCTCCACGTGGGGCGAGTGGCGGAGGACGGAAGTGTGCAGATCGAGGGGGAGGAGGAGCCGCCGGCGCGAGGAGGGCGGGGAGGCCGGGGAGGAGGGGGAGGAGCGGCGGCGGCCCAGGCGGCAGCTCGGGCTGGAGACGGCGGCGACGCGCAGGAGACAACAGAGATCATCACCTTCGCTGAGGCTGGTGAGTGCGTACGGCTCAGTGTGTGTGTGTGTGTGTGTGTGTGTGTGCATGTGTCCACCTGCTGGTGAATACACATACACAAACACACACACACACACTAACCTCTGTAATGGCCTCCTGCTGTTTTCAAAGAATAGCTCATTATCTACTTAAAGAGGAGATTTGTGTGTCGCCGTGTGTGTGTGCTGCAATGTTTTCCTGACAGTAGCAACACAGAACGAGTACGAGTCAGCGAGAGAGAGAGAGAGCGAGAGAGAGAGAGAGAGAGAGAGGGAAGAAGACAGCTCATACATGCAGTCTGCGCTCAGCTGTTAATTGTAGTCCTTCCTGTGTGACCTTTGACCTCCTGCAGGTCTTTGTAGGCGCCGGCACGGTGCTGGAAGTCGGGGCACTGCAGCTGCTAAAATCCGCAAATAATGAAAAGATTAATTCAGAAAATGTTTTTACTTTCTCCTTTTTTTACTGGTATTAATGTCATGAAAAAAAGGTTTTAGTGGGTTTATCCACTAAAAAAAAAATCATGTAAAATGTGAATAAGTATTAATCACAGCAACCGGTTTCCTTCCTTCTTAATCATTTAGTAAACTGACTCAGTGATCTATTTTAGTAAGTGTGTGTAAAATTGGTGATTTGGATGAATTTTGAGCCTCTATTATGCTTTTCGGTATAAATTCATTGTTTTCTTGTCTCTGATACTTTAGTCATTGTTCTATCACAGTGGTCCCCAACCTGAGAGTCAGGACCCCCACTAGGGGTCGCCAAAGCTTCACAGAGGGTCGTGAGACCTCCTTGATTTTAAGGCGTGTTAGAAAACTTAAAAAATATCAAAGTCGGTCTATATCTCAGCATTGAGGAAAGATTACACTGTAAAACCAGACTTCAACTCAAAAAATGTATTACATCAATAATTTTAAGTAAAACTAACTAAATGTTAACAAAACATTATTTATCAGTTAGATTTGGTCATTTTATGACACAGACTTCATTTGGATCTTTTGACTTAATGAAGAATGTTTTTGAACTTACAAAACAAAGTTTGTGTAACTTAAAATGTTCGCTGTAAACTTATTTTTTGAGTTAAAATTGCATATCACATTACAGAGAATTACTTAGTATCTAAACTCTGATGAGCTTTAAATATCAGCGAGAAGAAAACAGTGAACTGGTCAAAAAAGCAATGCAGACAGAAGAGTGTATAAAAAGTTATCAAGATATCAGAAAAACTCATCTCTGATCAATATTCACTAGAAATATCTGGTTTTATACAAACTTCCTGCAGCTGTTCGCTGTTTGTATATTTGTTTATGAGCTGATGGATAACGGCTCCCTTAAGGAACAAGGTTGGGAACCACTGGCTCTATTAGACAATTTACACTTCTTCACAAGTGAACAAAATGTCGAGCTACAGGCCCAGCCCCCCCAGGTCACCGAAGGGTCACACACATCCTGCCTTTCTTACGTGTACACCTCCAGTTTTGTGTGTTCCTACTTGTTATGTTTTAGCCATCAACTACAAACTGGCCTGATTCTCCCTTCCTGCTGATCATTTTCCAAATCCTCCATCAACTTCTTAGACTCCTGCTTTCAGTTCACGTCTGTGAGCCTGCGCAGACACGATTCATCCCGGGCACTCTGTGCTCGCTGCCATCGTTTAGTGCCGCCACAGCATCTGAGACTTGTTGATTTTTGTTGATATTGTTGGATTTGCAGCAGAAACAAAAGGAAACCCGTTACGGTGTGTGCTGTGCATTGGATTTGCAGTAATGTGACGGGTGTGTGATTTATGCTCAAAACCGTGTGAAGTCGCCGGTATGAGCTCGTTAATCCGGTGGAAACAGCGGCACACGCTCTGCACTGCTCTTTCCCAGAGCTCACCTGTCAGTCAGGCGTGTGGGTGGGACTGTGACGTCCTCTCCTTCCTCCTCTGGATTTTCTGTTGGTGCAGTTTCTGTAGGCGAGAGTCTGGAACAGCAGATGGAAAAGATTTTTATGAACTGGATCTGTGGAGACAGGCTGAGAGGAGCAGCTTTCTTTAGAGGACAACACAGGATTTAATGCTGTTTAAAGAGTTCCTCTCCGTGGATAAATGATGAATTATTTCACTGTTAAAATACATATGTAAATAATTGAATTCAGAATCATATTAAGACTTTTTAAAAACATTTCGTATTGTCTCCTGGATGCAGTCTGATATATATGGTGACTTATATATACTTCACATCTACAACCACACGTAGTTTTCAGATAGCTTAGCTAATGTTAGCAAAGGTTTTGTTAAGTATTCGTAGCTCATACTGAGAGGACTTTTTTACATTAAATAAATAATAATGCACAGTAACATACATCGTTTTTACAGGTTTTTTAACGCACCATAATATCAAGAAGGTCGAGCACATGTGGTACCTACGCCTGCTCCGTTCGGAAGATTTCGAATAAAAATAAATTAGGTCAGAACACGAAACCGGTTTTAAAATCTGGACTGAGATTGTCTTTCCCTCTCAGGCTCCGATTGTCTGATCGGTAGACGTTGTCGGCAGCAGCCTGCAGACAACGCTGAAGGCAAAAACGTATGGACATAACAAAGCTAAACATTGAACTCTACTCCTGTATAGTTTCACATTCATTCAATAATGCACCAAATGCCTGCCCTACCTTTGTTATGTAACTTAAAAATAATAACTTCAGACAATTTTTGTCTCTTTTTAGGTGTCAGGAGTGAAAATGAGTCATCCTCAACATTTGTTGTGTTCTTCTTTCAGAATGATGAAGACAGTTGGAGAACAATTAGATAGAAAACAGGATGAAGGCTGTATAGGATGAGTTTTTCTGGGTAACTTCCCGACAGATATTTAAACATTTTATTATGCATGTAGCTGCCATTGAGCCCCGAATGCTTACAACGTCTGGCTCTGCCTCTGGGTTTGAAGTTAGTTGATCTTTTGTCGACCCTTAAATCCACCCCGACCCTCTTTGAGGCTCACAGTAACCTGACTAGTAAAACCTTCAGCCACTAGAGGGCAGTAAACAAAAACTAAAGAAATTCATCTATGAGCTAAAATAGGCTAAAAATCTTGTTGTAAGTGTTGTAGTTTTAAAAGTACAATATGTAATTTCTGCCGCTCTCTTCACCACCATTGGCGTCATTGCAGTCAGCTTCTCCCGGTTAGGATTCCTTCAGTGTTCATGGTTCAGGAGGTTTCTACCGGGAGCCCAATGATCCACAGAGGTCTCCTCCTCTCCAACACAAACAGACCCGCTGATTAAAACCACTAAACACACTGAATAAAGCAGTTCCACCTTAAACACACTGAATAAAGCAGTTCCACCTTAACAATCACTGCTTCTCCCACGCTGTTGGACAGACAAAGGACGAGCTGCTGCTAACGTTAGCTCAGCTTGTTTCTCTGATAACTTAAGATCCAGACGTCCGATGACTAAAATCCTTCACCCGGTTCAAATCTAGAGTTAAAAAGCACCAAGATCTAAACAGTGGATGGTAACAATGTTAATTCAATCAACTCCATATAGAACATTGCGAGTTTATACCTTTATATCTTTAAATTAAAAAAAAGACCTTGTTGTTTTTCTAAGATGTCACACAAACCCCGCCGTGAGAATACTTTGCACCCAGCCAGTCCTGGGCTTTGTTAGGAATAACTGATGCATTCAGGGACCTCAGCAATTATTTTAGGCGACGGAGATGGCGAGTAAGGGAGCGGAGGGAGGACTGGATTCTTGGCGGAGACGAAGTGTCAACCTCCGTTTAGCAGCACAATATCTATCTGTCCGCCGTTCTGTTTAAATTCCTCCCCTCCGTCCCTGTTTATCTTCCCCTCTTCTCCCTCGCCTCTCCCCGCACACAGAGGACAATTAGGCTAATTGAACTTAATTGAACACATCATTAGCGACATTCCACAATCCACTTTCATCTCGCTCTCCGCTGCTCCCTCTAACCTCGGTCTACCCTTCCCTCCGCTGGCAGACAATAAACCGCTCATTGTTGGATCTATTCTGGCGGTCTGGTCCGTCTGGGGACTCGAACTAGCAACCCTGCATTGGGCTCGGAGCCGGTTCACTGACTTCTGACAACTGAGAGGAAACAGTGATAGAAAGACAAAAGCGTCTGTCGGATATGAAAATAAACTATAATTAGCATGTTTCCTTTCTGTTGCTCACATTCTTCTTTTGATCTTCTCTCGTCTTTTTCTTGGCACATTTTATGTTTATTCTCCATCTTTTTCTTCTTCCACAACTTCCTATCTCCTGTTCTTCTCTTCCTTTTTTCTGCCCGTCCATCACTTTTACGCTTTAGCGTGTTTATAGTGTGTTTACGGTTGTGTCCGTGCAGTCGTAACGTTGTTTGAATCCCCTTGCCGTCGCCGTCCCACCCCATCGTTTGGCTCTGCTTTGATGTTTAACCGGCCGCCAAAGATGCTCTATGTCTGCAGAGATGAATCACTCGATAGTAAACAGCTACAGATTGTGTGTAGACCTGCAGAGCACTAACACACCAACCGCATATGCAGTCCTGCTGCCCCAAATACTCACCAGAGCACCAAATGTGGATTAATCCGCCACTGAAAATAGTTCCCAACAAATTTCCTGGCATTTGTTTGATAAAAGAGAGACTGCTAACATTAGCTAAAGTTTGGCAGACGTTCCCTTTTGTTCATATGACTCCAATTGTTTACTAATTGGAGGAGGTGTCGTGATGAACCGTAACCGCCGTTTCTCCCGTATTTCAAGGCCACCTCCCGTTTTATTGTTTCTCCTGGGAGAGTCCCGTAATGTGCACATCCCTCAAACAGTTACAAGTCTTTAATGAGATTTTGGGTTGCCAGGTTGTGAAAAATCCCACCAACATTTAATAAGATTTAAATCATCCCCTCAAGGACCCTAAAATGTTAATAAACATATTTTGATCTGATGTATTAACTGTTATAAAACCATTAGATACAACTCACAAATCTTTTATAAAAGGTGTCATATTAGTAATAATG